AAAAAAATAAACGGAGGAAAAAAAAAAGACCGGTAACCTGGTTGCCGAGTTCACGAAGTGAATTGGCTTGTTTTACACGGGGGGTAACATTTCGCGCGAACGGTTTGGGTTCATGCACTCATGCCCTTGGAATTTCGTCGCGTGGCAGGAACATTATTGGAAGGGAGGTGTCAAAAGGCTTCGTGGTCAGCGTTGTTCTCTTCCATCCAATACCGATAGTATTCGCGGACAGCATGAACGTCTTGAAGTCTCACAGGTAAACCAACAAAGAGGTCTGGTAGACCAAGACCATACACATTCGCATAGCCGGCGCTCGAACAAATAATCCATAGCAATACTTGTGATGTGGTCGTACAGAGAGCAAACGCAAAATTAAGTGCATCGGAGAGTGGTCTGAAAGATATTTCACCACGACGTGGCGCACCGTTGCCACGATTCTAGTGGATTCACGGCGCTCGAGAGCCAGGCAAGCAAGGGTGAGGGACCGGACTACGGCAACGCTCTGTTTTGAATCCACTGGCAGGTTCATGAGAATAATCAACGAATAGAGCGCCGAGTAAGATAGCCGACTTCGGGAGGAAGGATCTCTTTGCCACTAGACTACAAGCTCACAGCGGCTACAACATGGCGTGCATTGCATTTGCTTTTGGGATGTTCGGTGCTGGACACTCCGATGTGCACTACAGATGGCGCCCGCACTTACGAACCTCTAGTTTCGGCCGAGGCTGGGGTTCTTATTTTGCTGATCATCCTCTTGTGGGGTACAAATGGCCGCTATACAGGTTTAAGTGTGGGGTTCTTAACCGAGCTCACAAATGGTGCTCAAGTTCTTAGCTAGCTTCTGATTTCTTGCGAGTCTCAATTTCTTGCTGGCTAAGTTCGTAAGTGCGGGCGCTATCAGTACATAGGATCTATGCTTCTCGGCACTACGCATCACACCACATTGGTGTATCCCGCGCAACCAAAATACCACCAGTTCTTCCCTCCTGTTTCCGACACACTTGCGAAGAACCCACCTCCTTCCAAAGACCGAGCAGCGTTGGCAAGGAGTTCCACCATGGACGCATGACCCTCCCTTTCGGCCACGTGCCTTGGCATGGATCCAACGAATGCTTGCCTTCGGACATCTGCCCCGGCAGAGATGAGCTCGTCGGCCACTTCTAGGTGTCCCCCGGCAGCAGCGGCATGGAGCGGGGTAAGGCCTGGAGGAGGGGGGTGGGGGGGCGGGAACGTGAGAATAGTGAGTGTGTCATGTGGCGAGGTTTCTGGAGCGCGGGGTATCTCTGTTGTTTTTCATCCATAATTTTCTTTTCTCACTTTTGTTGCCGATCGCCGTTTTTACCTGTCGCAGGAATCGGGGTCATAAAGCTGAGACCAAGCGGATTATGACCGAGGCGATACTTGCACGAACCCGATCGGGATCAAGGGGATACGCGTTGTAGGTATCATCTCTGTGTTGAAACGCGTCGACTGAGCTGCTTACATGTCCAAGAGTCGATTTTCAAGGAGGAAGGCGTGTGATTGTTGAGTTGCTTTTTCCGTGCTGCTGTACACATGCATGCGTACTCGGCTGTTGAACAAAGGAATGGACACGACGCGTGTAAGATCAAAGATGATGACAGTTGAAAAGAGGGCCCATGGAAATACTTGGAGGGGCAAGACAGACGCTACACGAGATATCATTATATACCGTTCTGTAAAGCTTGAATTTCAGCATTTTCCTCTTACTACAACCGTGAATGATGTTCTTAAAATATAAAAAATACGGACAAACACAGACATGCAACCCGTTCGAGATATTCCCACAAGAACGGGATGTGTTGGAGTCTTTTCAATGTTGGGAGGAACACCGGCTGGCTGGCGGATTTATTTCGAGTCTCTCTTAATGAAGCCTGTACACTCATCAGTGGTAACAGCTGGTGCTAAGTAAAAAAATATCTGTATTAGGTCACGTATACTATATTATATATATATATCCCCTGAGTTCTCTACTAGATCAACGACACAACATCGGGTACGGGATCAATGACACAACGTAGGGGATAATCCATCCGTTATGTCGTGTGTCGTGAAGCACATGGCGTACTTACTGCTGTATGGCATTGCTTGTGACTCAGACTACTACTTGTATGGTCCGCACGAAGACCAGGATAACTACAGCAGTAGGAATTAAGTCATTGTGGAACATAAACTGCCTGTGTTCCTACAGCTCTCCTATTAGTAGTAGCGTACGACGATACCTCCCAGGTGGGTAACAGGCTCAGCAAACACAAGTTTGGTGGTTTCGTCAGGTATTGAAGTGAAGTCTCGCTTCCAAACGCAGGACCGGCCAACACAGCTCGTGCCTACCTCTGGAATCTTTCGCATTTTTGTCAGCGTTCCTTTCTAGCAGGAGGGCGGCGGCTTCGACCCCACCGAAGGCAGCGCAAGAAAACAATGGCGTACGGCCCGCGAAGTCCCGGCTATCGACGTCGGCCCCGTGATCAAGCAGCAAGAGCATGAAATCGACCCGGTTCATCATCGCCGCCCAGTGCAGCGGGGTGCATCCAAGCGTAGCGTCGGGCATGTTGACTACGTCGTTCAGTTGGCTCGACTGGGAGCGTTGCGTGGATGTGAGGCGGGGAGGGAAGGGAAGGGGGGGGGGCGGTTTTGCCAGCGCTGTTGAGATTGTGGGTTGCGAACCTGGGGGCCCAAGGCGACCTGTACTCGGAAAATTGTTGACGTGCTGTGTAGTATCATGGAACACGTACACGCGGCACATTTCGCACGTCCCTACGTGGGTGTGCACACATGCTTCGCTGTGCATTGCTACACACGCGCTGTGCCGCACGCTCCACTTTTCGCTAAGGTTCTTAACACGCCAAACGACGTTTCAGCGCAATAGAAGGGAGCGGGACAGGATGGGCAGAAGGCTATCGCTGGCACCACCGCTATATGCTGTCTGCTGTAACCTGTGCGTATTTGCTACCGAGATCGTAGAAATCTCGGCATTGTTCATTGAATATTGCAACTGCTTGCTGTAGTCTACTTGTAGAACAGAGGACTGAACGGGGGAAAAAACATCATGATGACCATCATGTGCTTCAATTGTCTTTTATAGTCTACACACACATGTATTGTACTTCACGTGAGATCGCTGTCTTTTCACCTGATGATTGCGTACTCTCTCCAGAACAACCCTTCCCGCGTCAGTCATGCCCTGTGAGGCAGCAACGTGAAGAGGCACGAAGGGAGGCCCCTGCTGCTCCAGTCCTCGTGGATATTTGTTGTCATCGGACGTGCCACGAGACCGTTCGTGATCTTCGCAGTGACGTTGGCGTGCCTAGCAGCGGCTTGCAGCCAGCACCTGCGATGCCGCTGCTGCTCCTGCTCGTGCTCGTGGGTCCCCGACGGGTTCATTACACCGGCCGTGACTCCCCACGCGGGCGTGTCCACGATCATCGTCACAGGTTCAATCATCGTCCAAGCAAAGCTCTCCTGCCAAAATCTGTACTTGTCGTCCTCAAGTGCGGGATTCCGCCTATTGGCGACAAGTTGTAGCAAGTTGGGCGGCGCGGATTGTGTTCTTGCCTTACTTGCGTGGCTGCTGTTGTTGGGGTTCTTGGGTTGGGGGTCGGGGGGTAGGGATAGAGGGTTGAGAGGTCGGGTGCGCGTCGAACGGATGTGAAGCTGGTGGGGCGCGAGCGAGGTGGCGGGCAATCTGGGGAAAACCTTAAGGGCCTACGACTAAGAAAAAAAAATGACGCATGACGTGGATTCCCAGTCATCAATGTGTCATCGTCTTTTCGGGTTGTTGGGAGGCACAACAGCAGTCTTCCGGTCTCTGCCGAATATGACTTTAGATATCACCCCCCTACATCCCTACATCGAAATCTGCAATGTGCTCGATTTCTTCATTTCTCCACGGCAAAGAATCAAAGGCAAAGTATCGCAAGAGGGGTGGGCAGGGGGCCTCAAGGAGAGGAACCCTTCCGGGTGACCATGGGTCGGAGTAAACGGCACAAGTGCTGTGAGCGCGGAGGATGCGCTGATGTTGAAGTGAACAATATAGGCATAAAAAAAAAGAGATCGTGAAAATCAAACGCCATGTTACGCGGGAAACAAGTAGCGGCACCTACACTCTTTCCTGCTGTGGATATCCCGCTTCGAAACTCGGTCCACGGCGTGATGATGCCTGTTACCTACCGCGTAGAGGAAAAAAGCATACTTTTAAACACTACTGCTGGAGTCTAGGCCTGCGTGCACTTACTAGACCCCGAGTGGGGGGAGTTTTTTCCGCGCGCACCATCACAACAGCATAACCCGTGCTGCGGAAAGTACCTGCAGTAGGCTGGGTCGTGCGCCCCCCGTGAATATGTGTTGCTTTTGTTTTGGTACACGCACCCGAAATGTTGTTGATGCGATG